TGCAAACACAGCACGGGCATCAGCTGGGCCGGCAATAAATTAGGGCCGGGCGGGGGAGAGCGAGAGGAGTCGCTCAAAGGAGCAGACCCGGGCAAAGGGGCTCCCCCGGCACCCCCAGTTTCGTTTTAGCGCCTCAACACGGGGATGGGGATGCGCCAGCGCCGGGGCGCACACACCGCGACGGAAAAAACGCTGTCAAATAAAACTAAACAACGAGTGCTTCCAGCGCCACTCCCCCAGCTCGGAAACTTAGCCACAGCCTTCCCAAATGCTGCTTTATCCCATGCTCAACTCCATCTGACCCCAGCTGGAGCCCCACTTCAAAGAACGGAGGGGAGCCACGGTGATGGGGGAGCTCCGCACTACAGGCACCCCGAGGTGAGGTCTGCTCCAGCCCAGCTCATCACTACACGCAAAAAGCAAAGGATTTGGGCTTTCTGTCTTCTGGCACACTTCCAGATCTCTTGACAGGCCAGCTGGGGGAGGAGTTTTCTGCTAAGCAGGGCTTTGAGGTAACATTTCTCAGTGTCTGAGAACCAAAAACGGCTCAAGGACTGCCACGAGCATGTGGTTAAAACCAGAGCAGCACACAGAGCTGGAACCACGGGACACAACGGCTCCGCGCTGCCCAATTGCTGCTCTGCAGCCTCATCTCAGCCATGAGCTCACTCCAGGTACTGAAAAAGTACCAGTGCGAGGTTCAGAGAAGCTACAGTGTTTTCAGAGAAACACAGAGAATACCTTCAGCACACCACTTCTCTAAAGGTAAGAAGGCTTGCAGACTACAACCACATATCCAGCTGCAAAGGCTGTACAACAGAAGGATTACCACCAGAAAGGCAGGACTCCAGTGGCAGCCTCTCTCTGCCAAGCACCTCATCTCCTTCTTCCACAGATGAAGGGCATCATCATGACCCCAGAGACTCAATAAAAGCATACTGGGATCCTGCAGCAAGTATGAAACAAGCCCAGCATGACCACACTCTTGCCAGGAGCAAGGGGATAGTTCAACAATTTCAAGCTTCCACAAGATACACAGAAAAGTATCTCACAGGATCCCTAGGTCCTACAAAGCCACAAAACTCAGCTGAGGAAAAGGGATAAAGTACCAGCCCGCTCCATTCTCCTGCCACACTGTGCAGGTTGGAAGTAGCAAGCTGCACAGAAAAATTAAGCAGATTAAATACATACAGTATGAGCTAAGCAGCAAATCCTTCCATAGTTTCCCAGTGCCACAGCCAGTCTTTGCCAACCATGCCTCCGAATGGCATAAGCACCCAGGGGAAAGGAAATTTAATCTAGAGAGCAGCATTGTTATAAATAGGATCTCAAGAACAAAGTGAAGAAAGGGAAGTGTCCTTGGATGATGCCTTAATTGGTGGGGCTCATCTCCACCAAAGCATTAAGGGATAAACCAAATTCCATATTAAAACAGGAGCCTTTACAGGAAAGCCATATACATACATAAGCACTCACACAGAAACACACCACTTTCAAATCACTTTTTAAACAAATAATCTCCCTCTGTCCATTATTCTGGCCCCGTATCACCAGAACAAGGCTTGATTGCTCCTCAAGTTTTGCTGACTGGCCCATGATACAATGCCTCAGACCAAGTGACCTCCCTCATCTTTCCTGCCCCCTCCTTTACTCTCCCACTGTCCACCTTCAGCACCTATGAGTCCAGTTTTACATGGACTAAAATAAGGCTGCTAAGTAAAGGTCAGTCTGACAAGCTAAAAGAGAAGTATCCCCTGTTGGACCTCTGCTCTTTGGGCTATAAATACTCAGAATAAGCACTGGGGGAAATTCTTTGTCTGCACAGCCAGACACCAGGAAGCACATTTCCTCCTCCTTCCACTTCTCGCCCCTCCTGCTACTCAAGGACAACATCCAGAGAAAAGCAAGCATCTCTCTGCTACCAGCTCCATGATTTATCCATGGAAGGCATTTGCTTTGCCACTGGTAACTTGAGGCACACAGGCCTTCCCAGAGATAAACAGATGCTTTCAAGATGCCAACATCAGCAGAGAGCACACACTTCAAAGCAAACCAACACACTGTGTCTGGGCAACGAGGAGAATTACCTTTAAGGACTAGGGGCTCCTTGCCTTCTCGCTTGAGTGACTCCAGCACTATGTGGAGTGGCTGGGAAGGCATCACCCTGCTTGGCTCATTGGTATTCTCATCATAAACTACGATTTCTTTGGAAAAGATTCTCTTGAAGGAGTCCTTGCCTTCCCGGCAGGAGATCAAGTCCAAGACAGTGATCTTGCCCTGCTGGAGCCTTCTCCGGCTGATCTTGTCAGAGCAGTTAATGTGGACAGCCCCTTGAATGTGGCTCTTATTATACTCCATGAAGGGCCTGCAGTCAATGATGACAGGCCCTTGGTTCTGTTGGTGGCTCTTGCTGCATTTGGTCATCTTCTTGGCCAGATCATTGGGGTAGATGATTTTGATGCTGGCGAGTTGCTTGGCGCTGCCCGAGACGGGGCTCCCCACTCCGCCCAGCGGGCTCAGGCTGCCGGCGTTCTCATTGCTGTTGACCATTTGGTTGGCAGGGCAGGCGGGGGAGGCTCCGGCGTGGGTGCTGCTGGTGCTCGCTTGAGTTTGGGCCTGAGTGTCCTTGTCGTACGTTGCCACAGTGCAGCAACTGGCACTGCTGCATCCACAACTCAGGGAGCGTGCAGAGCCGTTGGATGAGGGCATATACGTGAGATTAGCAGTCTTTAGGGACACGACAGCTGCGCCAAGCAGACTGGAGTGGCTCTCACCAGCAGAAGAGGCAGATTCAAGGAAGCTAGAGTCTAAACACAGGTTGAGATCCTGAGGTCTCACTGGCCTCGAAAGTGCCACTACTACCCTGTCGTCTAAAGGAGATGGAGGCATGAGGAGGCTGAGCACTAGCAAGTTAAGAAGAACTCAAGATCACCCTGAAAAAGAAAAAGGGAAAGAAGAAAAAAGGTGATGAAAACAGATCATGAAATCACATAAACATATAGATCCAACAACTTACTTCGCCGACACCCATTATCCCTAACCTAACAACCCCTTCTGACAGTTACCAGCTCACAGTAGCTGCTAAAAGCCCTTTTCAGGACTGCAGAGAATACTTCAGCTATCTGCATGTGCGCCCATGGCACACAGAATTCACATGAGCAGCCTGGACTGTACAGTGACACCCAGGGATGGCATTTAGCTACATGCAGACGGTACTGAGCTATTCTGAAACCCCAGGCTGCAAGGCTCACCACTGATAATGACAGAGGCACGTTCCCTTATCCCGTTGCTCACTGAAAAGGAAGCAACTACTGGGCTGAGTCTACTACAGGGAGGAACGTGTAAGAGCTGAATAGCTGAATGTGTCAGGGGTGATATGCAATTTTTCCAGCAGGCTGGAATAAAATTACCCTGTGAATAAATTTTCTGAGACAGTTACAAACTTGAACATGTAAGGCTAAACAAAAAAATACCCAGAAGAAAACAAAAAAATTAGCTTTGAGAGATCTTTTTAAGCGCGCACCTTGCACTTCCCTCCCCCTGTTAGAGGTGAATCCAGTCCCAGTTAAAGCCCTAGTTCCAGGCTTGGGAAGGCTGCTGTTCTCCAGCAGTTCGTGAGGCAAGTTCCCCGCTTCCCACCACACTTCACAGCTTCTTCAAAGAGTGGTCCCCTCTGCCCCAGTCAAGGTCACTGCCTGCCCCACCTTTGCCTTCCCATTTGCTAGGACGAAGCATGCAGGATTAGAATCCCCCCTCGGCAGTCAAGGAAGACGACAAGAGCAAAATACCCGACAGCCCTCCACCAGCAACTTCGGGAGCAGCTCTCTCTGACAAACCCATCCCAGCACCAACTTCACCAACTCCACCAAGCCCCGCAGCGGGGCGAGCACTCGCAGCTCCCGTTCGCCGCCCCGGCTGGCTCTGCACCGGGCCGGTCAGGAGATGTCCATCCCGAACAGGGGGCGGCCGGGGGGCACCGGCACCGCCAGCAGCCACCGCTCTGCGGAACGAACCCGCGGCACCTCCGGAGCGCACAAAGCTGCCGCGACCCGCCCGCCGGGGCACGGCGGAGGTGCCGCTGCCGGCCGGAGCGGGGCCAGCGGCGGCTCGCTCGGGAGGCTTTCCCAGCCCGTTCTTTTCCCAACCCTCCCCTCGCCCTATTTTAGGCTCAGAACTAGGATAAGGGCGCCCCGAGCGCCTTCGCCTGACGCAGTTAAAATTTTTAAATAAACGAGGGAGACAACCCAGTTCCCCCAGCGAGGGAAAACAACGAAAGAGCCCGCGAAAAGCGGGAAACTGAAGTTTTGCCCCCGAGCGCGGGGAGCCGGGGCTGCCGCCCATCGCGCGGCGGGCCGGGCCGGCGCTCCCCGCCGCGGCAGCCCCTGCGCGGGCTCCCGCGGCCGCGGGCCCCCGCTCCGCGCCGTGCCCCGCGCGGCTGGGCTCGGCTCGGCCCGGCTGTCCCGCACTCACCGGCGCGTCGCGGTCCGGCCCGGTGTGCGGAGGTGGCGGCGGCCGCCGCGGGAGGAGCCGCTGGAGCCGCTGCGAGTCGCGCCCGCTGCCCCGCGCGCCGCCCGCCCCGCGCTCCGCGCGCCGCCCGCACCATCCTCGTTACTTTCCCTTTTGCTACCGCGTAAATGTACGGCCCGGCGGGGGCGGGGCCCGCGACGACGGGCGGCCGCGCCGGCCAATCGCAGCGCGGGGGGCGGCCCGGAGGCGGGGCGGTGACGTCATCTGCAGCCAATGGGGAGGGCGCGGCGACGGCCCCGCGCCCCGGGGCAGCCGTTGCTCCCCGCGGACGGGCGGGGGCGGCCCCGTGGCAGCGCCCCCCACAGCACGGGCAGAACCCCCTCAGGACGGGCAGAGCCCCCTCAGGACGGGCAGCAACACCGGGCAGCGCCCCCCACAGCACGGGCAGAGCCCCCTCAGGACGGGCAGAGCCCCCTCAGGATGGGCAGAGCCCCCTCAGGACGGGCAGAGCCCCCTCAGGACGGGCAGCAACACCGGGCAGCGCCCCCCGCAGCACCGGCAGAGCCCGGGAGCGACCCGCGTCCGGCCGCGGCACCAGCTACGGGCCCCAGCAGAGCATCGGCCCCGCTCCCGGAGCGCGGCGGCAGCGGGCAGTGCTGCCCGTCCGCCCCAGCCCCGCCGCGGGAGGCTCGGCAGGGAACGAGCGGCGCCAGCCCGAGAGGATGCTGCTTAGCGGCTTTTCCAAGCAGTCCTTCCCTGTCAGAAAGGAGCCCGCGCGAGGTACTTGGGAGGAGGAAAAGCCAGCAGCCACATCTCCTCCTGGGTCAGTCCATCACGCATCAATCCAGCAAGGCAGAGACAGGGAAAGTGGCATCTCCAGAATGATGCTCCCTACCAATCCACCCGGCCACGGGAGCACTGGAGAGTTTCATCTAGAGTCCAGCACTGAGCTACAGCAGGAAGGGTAAAGTTGGAGCAGATAAGAACAAGCCCACACTAACTTCTTGGGAGTAGAAGAACAGTCACTTCCCCACCCCAAATCGGTAAATCACAGGGAGGGCAGGAGGTGTGTCCTACACTGCTCAGAGACAGCCAGGCCTGGAGGTCCCTGCCTGCCTGACCCCCCAGATGCTCCATGCTATAGAAACTCAGATAGAACCCAGCTTTGGCAGATTCTCCAGTAAAGATCCTGAATGTTCAGATTAGACTGGGCTCTCCCCCAGTCCAATCAGTGTAAAAAGGAAAGCAGCACGCGCTGGAGCACAAGATTTTAAGGATAAGCATGAATCCCTTTCATCCTTTCTGACAGAGGCTGACATGGGCAAAATAATGAGCTCTCACCCTTCCTATGTGAGCACTACAAGGTGAGAACTGATTTTCAAGCCACATGGATCAGCTCATCACACACACTAGAAGAGTACCTGGCAGCAGCATGGGATTTCTGCACCCCTTCCTTCCTCACTGTGCAATCTGTTTACACATTTCCTGGTTCAGCAACCACATCTCATCATGTACCAGTCCATCAATCCACCAAGTCAGCAACAGGGAAAGCGGCATCTCCAGAGCAATGCATCCTCTCGTGTCCTTCCTAACCATGGGAGTGACAAAGTGTTTCACCTACAGCCGGGAATGCCAACCAAGCTTTGGGCTACAGGAGGGCAGATGAAGTTAGAGCTGGTAAGAAGTTGTCAGCATGATAACATTGAATCTAAATTAGCCCCCAAAGATTTTGGTTCTGGGATGTATGCGGATAATTAATTAATTTTTCAACTGGGATTTTCCAGCTGTAACTACCAATCCAACTGGGTCTATTGCAAAAAAAAAAAAAAAAAACAAAAAAAAAAAAAAAAAAAAAAAAACTGAGAGCAAGATTTTAGAAACACTGAATACTTGATTTTTTTTTTTTAATTAATAGTTCTAAGGTAAATAGCAAATCCTTTTCCTCACAGCCATTTTTAAACAATCTTTTGCTTCTCCTAAATGTTCCTCGTAGGACAGCTACTCATCCAGCACAAACTCAGGCTTTTGGTTTCCAGTGTTGTGATACCTCAGCAGAGTACCGGTTCCCCTGCACACTGGGAAGGAAGGGGAAGTGGGGGAAGGCTCTCACTTGCAACAGCTTCACCTCCAGCACTCTGCTTCCACTGAGAGCAAATGTGGGGAAAGACTTCGAGCAATTAAGTCATAGAGTGACTTCACCCAGCAAAGACCACAGTCTGGAGATATTACCTTCTGAATAAAATATTAATAAAATATAAGTCCCCATGCTACCCAGCATAAATGCAAACCAGGCTTTAACTGTGCAGTGCAATTGCTGCAAAAACAGCTGCCCTGCCCAGCGAGGGAGCAAACAGCTCAATGAAGAAATGCACAGGTCTCACTCAGACTCCACAAACACTGGTCAGTTCCCCAGAGGTGCCACTGTCAGATGCCACTGGAGCATTTCCACGCTCTCTATTCCTCTTTGTCCGTGGCTTGCTGAGGTTGGCACTGGGCTCACAGTGTACAGGAGGGGTGCTTCCCTCAAAACCTCCCTTTCAGGCCACACTTTGGCTTGGGGAAGGAGCTCCTCATGGGCTTGTGTTCTGTTCACCACCTGAAATGGCACCTTCCACCCAGGCAGCTGGAAACCATGTTCCTGTTTGTGCATCTCCCAAAGCTAGACATCTCCTAAGGCAAATATTTGTTAGAAAACACTTGCAATCATTGATTTTACTTTCTGACCAAACTTCTCAGTACAGTACTAACAAATGTGCACCAAGAAAATATTTTGTGACTTGCTATTGGAGGAGTTCTTCTCACAGGAGATCTGTGCAGAGGTTACTCACAGCGAGCAATGCTCCCTTCTGAAGGATATTCAGCCTCTGCCAAGTTTTTTTACAATACAAAGAGAGGCCAAATGTTATTTTCTTTCATATTTTACTTAACTTTTTATTTTTCTAAGAATGTTAACGGTAAGTTGCTATTCCACCCCAGTTTCAGAGGATTTCCTACACAACTTTACTGACTTCATGCTTAATACATTTTATTAGCCTATGACATAAGATTGGCCTTTTTCCTGCTCTCAGAAACCACAGCCTGCTGTGACTTTTTTTCTGAGCATATTCAATGAACAGCTTTCTAAATGCTTTTGCTCTCTGTAATTCAACACCCAAAACAGACAAGACTTATCTGTTCCCTAAAAACTAAACTCCTATTATCTGAAAAGCACACAAGAATTCTTATTATGAAAACTGGCACATCTTGGTTGAATTCCCACTTCCACCAGTAGCAGCACTTGGGATTTTGACATTTATTTTCCTCAAATGCTTTTGCCACCATGGTGCACTTGCTCAAACATTTGAAGAAAACCACAAGCAGATAAAGTGAAATTATCTCAGAATTGAAGCAAATCCTCACAAACTCTCACAGTATACTAATTGCATAAAATCCAGTCAGAACTGTTCAACCTCACAAAAAGGGTAAAGATTGCTAAAAACACACACTGAATATTTAACAGATGTGAAAAAGAAGCCATCACAATTCTTGCCAACAACACAGACACCCCTTAAGTTCTCTCAAACTCAACTTATTGAAACTTATTTCAATCTTATTGAGAGATTTCTTGCACATCAACAATTCTTCCACTCTACAATCAGGGACCTTTTATCTTGTTTAGGATTAGAAAAAGACCCAGAATATAATTACCTTCATCAATGCAGCCATATACAGCACCTGCCCTGCACCGAAGTAGAGAAGAAGGTGTGCTGTCCTATCCCCTGAACATTCAAATCTCTGGAGTCATGCATGAAATAAGAATTTCACCTGTTGTACATCTGACTGCAGAATGGGGCACTCCAATGTTGGCTGCTCTCCAGAGTAGCATTATTCTGGTTTTAGGGGCACAGTAACAACCAAAGCCAGGAGTTCACAGTAACAGGCTGTGTGTAAAGACAACAAAGGACAGACAGTTGTCTCTCCTGAGAATGTCATTTGAACAGAGCAATGCAAGTTCCCAATTTTACCAGAAATGGGAAGCAAGAGGCTGAGTGACTTCTCTAAAGTAACACAACAGCTTACACAGTGGAGCAGAAAATTGGGAAATTGGAGAAAACAGAGGTGCTAACCAGCACAGTGTTTCAACTGCAAACCTGTAGCTTGCACTTCATCAGATATCACATGAAGTGGCTAAAAGAAAATGTCCTTGGGGGCTAGACTGAACATCTGTGTGTTCACTACTTAAATTTGCCATTTGTTTTTTTTAAGGAATCTTTGATTCTTGTAAGGTTTTACTACATTGCATGGCACCTTTGTTTGTCCTTGCTAGAAATGTCAGTTCACTACACAGGCAAAGCTGAGAAACCACTGTTAGCCATTTTGCAAGAAAAGGATATCTCCTTTTTTTCCTTTCTTTTTGGAACCCTGTTTTAAGGGCACCTTAGTAAAATACAAGCTTCCCTCTTAAGTGATCATCTGGTATGAGAGAAAACAACTTGCTTTAGACAAACAGTTCATCTTCTAAGCAAGGGGGTGGGATTGAAACTGTGCACAAAACTAATTTATAAGGAAAATGAGAGCCAGTAGTAAACATAAAGATGCATCCTGGTACTCCTGCTTGCTTTTTATGGCTTATACCCAGTGGGGAAGCTGCTATTAAATGACCTAAGTGAGAAGCTGAAATGCAACAGTTCTGGCACTGTTACTCCACTCGGATGCTTCTGTTGCAGTTACCAGCCTGTGTGGGTTTGGTAAGGCACAGGTGATGCCAGGTGTCCCTTCCCTGGGGCACGCCACAGGAGAATTGGGGCAAGGAGGTCATGGTGGTGAGCAGCATCCTTTAAATAAAGCAGCAACACAGACAGATGAAGTCAGCCCACATCTCCTGACCATGCCTGCTCCATTTCAGCTCTGGGTCACTGCTGTGGAACTGTGGTCAGACACTCACCCCACAGCCCTTGCAGGCAGCCTTGCTTTCCTTGTGCTGGGTGGCAGATGACAGCTCAAGACCACCCTGCCAACACCTTGTGCTGCTGCAGATGGATGAGTTAGTTTGAGGAGTTAAGGGGACAAGCCAACCTGGGGGAGTTTGCCTCCAGCACCCCCATCAGCATCCCCCCGACCCTTCTGCCAGCAGAGTGGGGGGATGGCTGCACATTGGGAGGAGTGGGAAGGGGTTCAACACCTTTAAGATGCTGGAGTGAGACGATACGTGTTCACAGCTTTGTTTATACAAATTCATTAAACAAATGTAGCTACAGATTGACATTTTAATTCCTCTATATGACATTTACCCAGGGCTTCAAGACAAACATATTTCTGCTTACCTGGCTGTATATGCCACCTTTAAAGCAACAGAGGAATGATTAAATAGGGGTTTGCTTCAGTAAAGTCAGCTGGTTTTTCAAACCTGCCTGGGTACAACCTGCTCATCTTTATTTAAGGTTCTCTAATCATCTCTGGCTGCAGCCTGGCCAGGAATCTCAGCAGGACAGAGAGAGATTATTATTTTTTTAACAGTCCTTTTATCATTATGATTTTCCCATTTAAACTGTGGCTGTTTGAGTGAACAGGCAATTCCTGGTCTCCCCAGGATACTTGTACCTTAGAGAGCAGAAGAGACTCTAGTTACAAGAAGTCTTCTGGTGTGTTCCTGCAGCCTCCACACCACCAGCATGAAGCAACACATTGGGAGCACAGCAAGAGCACATCAGTAGGACAGGACAAGGCAGGCACATCTGTGCTGCCCAGGAGGGGACAAGTGCTTAAGGAGGAAAGGAGTAAAAGAGCATGAAAAGGAAAAAGAAATGGCTTTCTGAAGGTCTTTATTTATAAATTGCCTCCAGGCCAGACACAGTCTTACTTCCTTTTCTCAGAGCTTGGGTGAGATCCCTCACTCTGTCTCTCCTTAGGAGAGCCAAAGGGGAAGACACTGGTTATGAGGAGCAGAGCAAGAGGGCTGGAAAAAGTCCAGTTGGAGTCACTCCCATAACTCAGTTCAGCAGTTTGGGGTCATAAAGGCTAGTCCCTCCTGGCTTCAAAAAGAGATCAGGGAAGGTGAATTATTCCAATTGGCTCTGTTGGAAAATAAGTGCACAGACAGTCGCTGCCATGACAATCGCTGTGAGCGAGAGTGCTGCAGAGCTATTGACAGCCAGCTGGGCCAAATTCCACTCCCCATCACACCCAACCCTCCCAATCGATGCCATGAGAGCAAACAGTGCCTTCCATGCACAAGGTCCCCTTCCCAGAGGCAAATATCCGATTGTCCTGGCCTGGCAGCTGCAGGCGGATGTGCACGGGGTAGGAGAGGGCATGCTGGGGCTGGCACAGGGGGACAGGGCACTTCTGGGGCTCCTTTCAGGACTCCAGCTGAAAGATGCTGTAGATGCCATCCTGGGCAGACCTAAGCCTTCCTACTCTGCAAAGCCAGGGCTCCCTGCCTGCTGAAAGTGACAACTCTTACCTGTGGCGTGCCCTCCCTCCTGTTTTTTTCTTTCATGGACCGATGTGGCTCCTCTCTCCTGAGCCACAACATTGAGAATACTCTGTCTTGCATATTTCTGCCTCCACTCCCCAAAACAAAAGGGGAAGCAGGACAGGAATATTAGTTTTATGACTTATGTGTGCTTGTAAGTGTACAGAACAGGTCATCAGAGATACTGGTTTCAACTGCTGCCATAGCTGCTTGAGCAGCAGCTCTGTATAGCCCTAATTTGGGAAGGGTAGCTCCTGCTTCTCATCCTCCAGAGCAAGCTTTCACATCAGGCCTTCCACCTGGACCACAGTTTTGGTCCTGCTTGCCTGCAAACACTAGTCAGGCTCTGAAGGTCAGGGGTGTAATAAGTGCAATACAAATTAAGTCCTTCCAGACAAATGATTTGTGTCCATAGCAGAGCTGAGTTCTCACCAGCCTCACTCACTGACATAACTAACCTGACTTTAGGGGGTCAAATAGCAGTCCAGATAACTGGCATTAGCTGCCCTGATTTACAGGCAACTTTTTAATCCAGTGTTTTGTGCCTGCGTCACCTCCAGCTGCTGCCCCTGCCTTGCTGTCTGCCCTCCGCTGGCCCACTGAGACCAGAACTAGCAGAAGAGGCACAGATCTCCCTTCCTCCACCTCTCCTTGTACCAGGTCTGTTCTTGAATTTGCACCAGGCTCTGTGCCAAAGCAGCAAAGGGGCACAGAGCAGAAGAGACCCACGGGCAAACACCACGCATGCAGGGGAATTATCAGCTCTGCTCTTTGCTCAAAGACCACCTGAGCCTCCACAGC